AAGCAAAGTGGTATCAACGCAGAGTACTGAGTCCGTAAGCAGATGCGAGAGTTCTGCATAGTCCAACCATGTAGAAGATTGTTTGCATCACGAAGCCATAGCGCTGATATTCCGCTTGATGATCAAAATGATTCACCATCAGAGGTGAGCCATATCAGCGGTATTCCAGAAAAAGGAATATATCAGTGATGCGATGCAAGATGACTATAATGGACAGCGACAATGAAAACGACACCAAAAACTACAAGTCCGAGGCTAAAAAGAATGATGGCAATCTGCAAACTACCGCAAACTGGAAGATAACTTAGCACAAGTCATTACATCGGGAATGCCACAGGCAAACATAGGCACTGATGTCAGTGAAAGGCGACATCAGAGTTTGCAATTTCGACGCAAGATGAAGCAGGAGAAGCGTGGTCGCGAACCTCTCCATACGTATTCACAGTATATGCAAATCTACATAAATGGAGTATACACCATTCTAGTTTCACACTCGTCTTCCTCTCCACTTCATGAAGTCCCTCATCTCGCCGGAGCCTCATCTTCGATCGCGTCGCAGTGCAGCAACGACCTTTACGAGATCCAGACAAACGTCACCACTTTATAGACAATTGTTGCTGCATGCCTAGAATTGCTATTGCTAACAACATTCCGCTCCTTATTCCTTCTGCCGGCGGCAGTGTGCCAATACTGTCAGGGTCGGCACCTCCTTAGTTCTATATCACTTCGCCTGTACCTCATTGAATAAGTACCGTAAAGATCATGCCATAAACATGACCTGCCGTGATATAAGTCTGTTTACTGCCCAGATGCCTAGTAACTTACATAGCCACGCCTATTATCGTCAGCATTCTACCGCAGCACCAACGTGTGCAGGTCGCCTGTTCTCAATAAAGCGCTAATACTTATATGTTCTATATAACACACTACAGTAACAGCCGTCGAGTTACGAGCCTACGAAATCACGCGCGTCCTTATAAATATTACCCAAAATGTAGAAATGGCATAATTCGTCGAGGTTCCACCGTAAGTGATTATATAACCAAGGCTCGGCAAGAGTTGTTAGTTGAAAATGCCAAAAAAACGGTTTTTACGAAGTCTCCTTTGACCTAAACTATAACCATTAAAAAAATCTCCAAAAAAACGAAACGTTCGACCAAAAGAACGTCGCCAAATTTTGGGTCTTTTCGACCACAAACACGAAACTTAAACCAAGTTGGCCTCAAACTCACAAAATCTGCTTGCCGCTGCTTCTCAAATGCTGGAATAAAGGCGTGTGCCACCCACGCATGCATGCTTACTACACAGGGCTCTCATAGGTCATCTATGAGAAGCATCCAAAGCAGGACATAACTGTGAGCTGCTTACCAGACTTTCCTCTCAGGCCACCTCGAGTGCTTGGCCACGTAGGCATAGGAAAAACAAACCACTCGCAATCATCATAATACTTTTTTTTAAATTAAGATTTATTTATTTAATGTATGTGAGTACACCATTGCTCTCTTCAGACACACCAGAAGAGGCCATCTGATCCCATTACAGATGGTTGTGAGCCACCATGTGGTTGCTGGGAATTGATCTCAGGACCTCTAGAAGAGCAGTCAGTGCTCTTAACCGCTGAGCCATCTCTGCTTGACCCAGGCGTGAGGCTCGTTTCGGAACTCGGGTAGTTGACACAGTGGAGTGCCGTCCTTCGTCGCAGCGACGACGGTGGCAGAGGTGACGTCTAACCCGATACCGACGATGTGGTCGGGATCAACCCCGGCGTCCTTCACGGCCCCGCGGACGATCGTCTCGAGGGTCTCCAGATAATCGACAGGATCCTGGAGGGCGAAGTCCGGCGGAAGTTTACGGCCGTCGGCAGCGCTCAAGGTGCGGTCCATGACCCCATGGGGATACTCATGGACGGCGGCCCCCCATCTCGGCGCCATCGTTGGCCCGTACCGACGACAGCGCGTCCGGACAGCGTGCCGAAATCCAGTCCCACCACATAGTTATTGTTCATGGTGTCCTCCTCGCGAGGAAGTCGGGTGGCGCCGGGGCGAGTGGTCGGCCCCCCACCCGACGTCGTCCTGGTACTCAGTCCTGCGGCCAGGGGCGCCGGCCCCAGAATTCCGTCAGGCTCAAACAGCGACTCGACGAGATCGCCGATGGTTCCGGTCTCGACGAGCAGGTCAAGAAGGGTGTAGCGCGACCGAATCATCTGGCACCGGTAGTAGGTGTCGTGGAAGCGCTCCCCGAGTCAGGCCGATCTGCGCCGGGTGGTAAATGCCACCAACAGTCTTGATGATCTCCTCGACCTTGGCAGCCGGCATGACCTGGGAGCGGCAGCGTTCTCGGACGGTCGGCCACGTTGACTTGACGAGTTCCAGACGCTCTCGCAGCGCATCGGCGTCGAGGTACTTGTCCATGGTCTGCCTGACAGCAGGCTCGAGCATGTCGCCCGTGAAGTTGGCGCGAACCTTGGCCTCCATTTCCTCGGCCGACGGCCACTTGGCGACAGCGGCGTCGACGTCGAGGGTGCTGAAATCGTGGTTGAGCGTTCTCTCCCCACAGAGCGAGCACTGAGATCGTGCCGAGTCCCACCTTGAACCCGTGGGTCAGTGGCGGGTCTTGGTCCATACCGAGATGCTCCATCTCCCACAGGTGGGAGAATTGGTGACCGGCGCCCGAGGCCGGGCGCGACGAGATGCGGGTACTTCTGCATCGCTAGACCGGACATCACGAGGCCTTCGATGAGGCCATCAAATGCCTCCGGTTTACCGTTGGCCAGCCCCTCTGGATCGCTGATGGCACTGGTGAGCGGGGCCCTGGACGAGATCCCACACCTCGTCGTCGATCGGCTCGATGCCCAGTTCGTCGGCGACGATCCAATCGGCACCCGGCCGGGACCTTTTCAATGAGATCGCCCAGGCCGGTAGCGGTGCAGCGTTGCGGAGCCCCGGCCATCGTCGGCAGGTCGGCGATGAGGGCTTGCGGGGCGCGGCAGCTCATGGTGTGCTTGAAAACCGTTTTCGGTAATCGAGGCACCGAAGGCGGCGTAGCCGTCCATTGAGGCGGCGGTACATACGTTCATGTAGCGCCGACCCAGTTCGTCGCTGGCTCGTTTGGTGATGTCGTTGAGGGTGCCCGAGCCGATTGAGCAAGCGATCACCCCGTCAAGGTCGCGCATGTGATCACGGATCTTCTCAACGTTCGCGTAGCAGGCGTAAACGGCTGGACGCCCCGGGAAGATCATCGGTTCGACAGTCTCGACTCCGGCGCCCTCGAGGGATGCCTTGGTCTGTTCACCAGCGACGGCCCAGGTGTTCTCGTCGGCGATAATGATGACCTTCGCATCACCGAAGAGTTCCTTGAAGACGCGCCCCGGTTTCCTCGAGCACGTTGCGGCCCATGACCACGACGTCCGTGTCGCCGCAATCGGCCAACGCTTTGTCAATCAATTCGGACATTGCTTCTCCTCTGATCAGTGTGATCGTCAGTTTTGTCGGCCTCGTGATCGACCATGTCATGAATCATGGGGCACAGTTGCGGGTAGGTGTCGCAGTACTTGTCTACGTAATATTGATATTCCTCGTGACGCTCCTGGTCCGGCTCAATGAAGTCAATCTCGTGGACCATCTGTGTGGCCGCCTCGGGGAGATCCTTGAACAAGCCAGCGCCGACAGCAGCTACCATGCAGGTACCGAGCACCACAGCGTCCCCGACCCTCAGTGAGCACGATCGGCACACCAGGTACATCGGCGTGCATCTGTATCCAATCACGGCTCTTCGTGGCGCCACCACAGGCGACCATGCGGTCTACCTCAAATCCAGCGGCCTTCATGGCGCGCAGGTTGTGGGCCGTGCCATAGCAGACCGATTCCTGAATAGCGTGGTAGAAATGCGCCGGAGTGTGCATAAGGGATAGACCCCAGATAATGCCGCGAGCTTTCGAGTCAGTGTACGGAGTGCGGTTGCCCTGAAAATACTCATTAATAATAAGGCCGTCGGAACCCGGTCTGATGTTTCGCGACTGCTCGTTAAGGACGTCGTACGGATTGAGGCCGATTTTCTCGGCAGCAGCGGTGTAGTCAGCTGCAAAATTGTCCTTGAACCACTTGAGCACTGAACCGGTCGAGACCTGGCTGCCTTCGACGGTGTACTGGCCGGGCATGACGGCGTCGGAGTAGGCACCGAAGAATCCCTCACCGTGGATCTCGTGTCGGACTGGCCGGTGAGCACGTGCGAGGAGCCGGTGATGAGAGCCATCGAACCGGGCGCGAGCACGCCGAGACCGATCTGACCGGCCCAGGCATCACCAAGTCCTTGGGCAACCGGGATGCCGGGACGTAGACCCAATAACTGGGCCGGGATAGTACCGAGGGTACCGACCGGTGTGCCCAGGTCGAGGACTCTTCCCGGGATCTTGTCGAAGACGTCGTCCGCAGCCGATGGTCTCATAGAAATCCTCCGGCCAACCGCCCTTGTCCTCGGTTGTAGTACATCCGGATGGCGGCCGAGTTGATGTTGGTAGTCCATTCTCCGGTGAGCTTGAACGTCACCCAGTCAGGGGCATCGACGAGGTGGGCGGCTCTGCGATAAGTTTCCGGCTCGTGCTCTCGTAACCACGCGGCCTTGAAGGGGTACCACTCGGGCGGTAGCCGGAGAAAACGCCAGCACCGTTGTAGAGGCGGGCGACCGAATCCGAGTTCTCAGCGCGTGCAGCCTGCTCGGTGGCACGGACATCCATCCACATCATGGCGGGACGTAACTCGTTGCCGCGCTCGTCCATGGCAACCATCGTTAACGTCGTAGCGTCATACGAGATACCGGCGATAGCTGCCGGGGAAATTCCAGCAGCCGCAATAGCGCGATGGCAGGACGCCTGCAGCGCCTTCCACCACTCTTCGGGGTCCTGCTCGGCCCAACCGGGACGAGGGTGAGTGGTCTTGTACGGGGTTGCCGCGAAAGTAAGCGGACCGTCCCGCAAGGTCAAAGATCGCGACTCGGCACGACTCGGTGCCATAGTCGATGCCTAAGAGGTAGGGGCCGTTGTTCAACATCGTTGTCTCCTGCGAAGTGTCTCTGCGGCAGCGGTGCACGCAGCTCGGTCGTCTTGTCAGTCATCGTTGTCTTCGGTCCAGCCGAGTTCGCGCCATGCCGAGGCTGGGATAAGTCGGTCGATGCGATCCAGAGTCCAGGTGGGACGATGCTCAACGTCGAGAGCTGCAACGTCGTCAGCAGTGGCCTCGCCAGTCAACACACAGGCCGACTTCATTCCGGTATCGAGGGCCATCTGGATGTCGGTTTGCAGCCGGTCACCGACCATAACGCAGTCTGTCGGGTCAACGTCGAGGCCGGACAGGGCTTCGGTAAGCATCACCGGCGACGGCTTGCCCAAGCTGACCTTGCACTGCTGTCCCGTGCATGCCTCGATAGCTGCGGTTACGGCAGCGCAGTCGGGCTCGCCACGGCCCGCCAGGGAAGGGGCAGAACCGATCTGGGTTGGTCTGGATGAGGAATGCCCGCTTATGGAACCAGATGGCGTCGAAGGCGATCTGAAGCTTGCGGTAGTCGAAGGTGCGGTCATACGAAGCGATGACGATGTCTATCTTCTCGGGGTCCTCACACAGCTCGATCCCGGCCTCACGTAGGCTCCGCTTGAGGGGCTCCTCAGCGATCGCGAAAACCTTTAGCGTCGGGGTGGTTGTTGACCAGCCAGCGCGTTGTCGTCACGACCGTGTTGGAGATGTCCTCGATGGCCGTGGGCAGACCCAATCTCGTGAGCTTGTCGACGTACTGGTCCGGGTCCTTGGTCGGGTTGTTCGACAAAAACCTCACTGGGATCTCACGACGGCGCAATTCCTCGATCATGCGGCGAGCACCCGGCAGTAGGTGCTCACCGAGGTAGATAGTGCCGTCCATGTCGAACACGTAGGCCCGGGCGAAATCAGTAGGTATGTCGATGACGTCATGCATGGTTGCTACTCCTGAAGCGAGATCACGAGAACAGGGTGGCGAGCGAGACGACCACGGTGTTACCGAGCCAGATGGCAGCGGCGGGCGGATCGATATGGCTGGTGCCGCGGTTGTACCAAAGGCGGGCACAGAACTCGCCGAGGCCAGCGGTGAAGACACCGAAGAATGCGGCAATGACCAGGGCAACCGTGGCCATACCCCACGTGTGGGAATCCCACGAGGACGTGTACGTCCAGTGGTAAGTGGTGAGGGTCTTGCCCATAAGCAGCGGGAAGAACTGCACCGCAGCCAAGCCGGCGATGTTCGTCACGTGATGCTGGACCGGCATGTTCCGATTAGTGATGAGGAACAGGATAATGACAGCTGAAATGCCGAAGCAAAAGCTGTTGGCGTTGGCAGCAGCCAGATTGTTGGCGAGTCCCCGTGTGGTCAGGTAGGCGCCAACGTTGGCGGCCAGGAAAAGAGAAGCGCCACCGGCGAAGATGCCGAACAGTGAACCGATGGTAAGGAGCTGACTGGGTTTTTCCTGCCATTCCAACCACCGTCCGTTGGGGCCCGGTTTGATCTTGGCCGGGAAACTGGTGGCGTTCTCGTGGAAAAGCTCTGGGTTGTGCAGGGAGCCGTGGAACAGTCCTTTGCCGGGTACTCCACCAAAGATGAGACGGGCCAACAGTCCCGGACAGCAGCACCGTCAGGGCGACTGGGTCGGTGTGCTTGCCGAACCACGGAATGTTTGAGATGCCGATCTGGCACAAGTAGCCGAAAATGCCGAAGGCGGCACCGACGCAGAGGATGTCGGGGTGACCGATGCCGGCAAGCGGGGTGTTGACGTCTTTGCCGTCACCCAGATGCCCTCGGTACCGAGCATAGATGGCGGCCGCAACGCCACCAGCAAACGCGATGTGCGGGCCCATGAAGGGACCAAAGGCCAGATAGTCCAAGCCGAAGGTGTTTCCGGTTGCGGCAAACACTCCCCAGGAGGCCAGCACACAGAAGCCGGTGAGGACGAAGGCGTAGTTGCCGCCGATGGCAGCTCCGACAGCACCGCCGGCGATGGTGGCAAGGAGTCCGAAGACGAAGACTCCGACAGAGGTGGTGAACATCGATGTTCCTTTGTGAGGGCGGGTGTCCCCGCGATCTGTCATCCGCACGCAGCGACGGGTGCGGCATTTCTGGCAACCCTAGGCGTTGGCCCAGGGGTGGGGTGGTTCAAGCGTGCGCCGGTGCACGTCTGAACCACCCGGTATCAGCAGTTGCCAGGGGCGGATTCCCCAGCACCTGACTCATATGCGTCGATGAGATCGATGTTGGCCTTGGAGTGGGAACTCGGGTCGAAGGTGTACCCGATGAACTCGTGGGCTAAGCGACGGGCAAGTTCGCGACCGATGACGCGTTGGCCGAGGCATAGCACGTGGGCGTCGTTGGACATGATGAGCCGCTCTACGGAGAAGGAGTCGTGGGCGGTACAGGCGCGAATGCCTGGCACCTTGTTGGCCGTGATGGCCATGCCCATCCCGGTGCCGCAGAAGAAGATTCCTCGATCGGCCTTTCCATCTTTGATGACGTGAGCTCCTTTGATGCCGATGTGCGGGTAGAGGGTGTCGTCACCAGCCTGAACACCGACGTCGATAACGTCATCGACTCGCGAATCCGCTTCCAGGTCAGCCTTGACGACATCCTTGTACTCGACTGCCGCCGGATCAGCGGCGACAACGATCCTTAGTCCCATGGTTCCTCCATGTCTCGCTGCCGTGTAGTGGGGAGTCCCACTCGCAACTGCGAGCAACAACGACTCATGACGTTCATATTAACATCGGTTATGTGAAAAGTGATGGATTTAAATGTGAATTGTGCCACCTTGCACCTATCCGTGACGCGCGAAGGATCCTCCTCGCAACCCTTGGCGCTGTGACACTTCGACCATAAGGAATCGCGACTGAGGCGATCAGGAGGTCACCCCGGTGGACGCAGTCGCTGTGCCGTAACGGTTGATGTAGCGATCATGGTTGGCGTCGATCTCAGACTGCGGCAGCGACGAAATGTCACCGATCATCGTCGCGTAGGCCAGAGTTCGTGCGACGTCCTCCACCATGACGGCCGCCTTGAGGGCTTTCTCGATGGAGGCCCCGACGGTAAAGACACCGTGCTTCCTCAAAAGCACTGCCGGGCACTGGTCGATGAACCTCATGACCTGCTCCCCGATCTGCTCGGTGCCAATGTGGGCATAACCAGCACAAGGTACGGGCCCACCGAACTCGTCAGCAACGGCCGCCAGGGAATACGGGATGTCCTGACCGGTGGCGGCCCACGCGGTAGCAAAGGTGGAGTGAGTGTGGACGATGCTGCGAATGTCATCACGCCGGCGATACACATAAAGGTGAGAGGCCGTGTCCGAGGACGGTCCCCGGTCCCCTTCGATGATCTTGCCCTCACTGTCGACGACGACCATGTCATCGGGAGTCATACCATCCAGACGTCAGATCAAGGGCCTAAACCGATCTTGCGTCCGTTCGGGTCAGGATCTCGATGCAGACGTCTCGACCACCATGAGGTGGACACCCAGATCGCTAAGCTGACTGAGGATCCCGCGCGGAGTGTGTGCGTCGACGACGACATGGTCGAAACTCAGTGAGATCTGCGAACTTGAACAGAGCACGGCGTCCAAACTTGGTGTGGTCGAGCAGCAGGACGCGTGTCTCGGCTGATTCCAGCATGGCCCGTTTCACCTCGACAACCTCTTGGTACGGGTGATAGCAACCTGCCTCGAAGATCCCCGACGCCGACAGGAAGCACAGGTCAGCGTGCATGCTGCGGATCATGCGCACGGCGGCGGGTCCCATGAGGGACTGCGCCCAAGACTGATACTCGCCTCCGGTGACGACGAGCTTGTCAGAGCTGGTCGTGATGACCTCCTTGGCAACTAGCAGGGAGTTCGTCACCACCGTCAAAGGGGTGTGCTCAGGTAGGGAACGCAAGACCCACACCCCGGAAGTGGAGTCATCGAGCATGATCGAGCTGCCTGGAGCGATGAGGTCGCTCGCCAGCTCGGCGACGGCCTGCTTATCGGAAGAGCTCTGCTCCAGACGGAAAGCAGCATCGGCCTCGTGCAGACCGTTAGCCACGGCCACAACTCGCCCCCGGTGACGTTGCAGCACGCCGCTGCTTTCGAGGATTGCCAGGTCACGGTAGATCGTCATAGCGGAGACGCCGGTTGACTCGACGAGGTCCTCGACGCTCACCGACCCGGCCCGGACGACCGCTTCCGCGATGGCGAACTGACGCGCCCGAGGCCCACCTCGGGGGGCACCTTCCTTCTTGCTCACCCACTTCTCCCGTCGTCACGGCGGCCGGTAATAGCCCGCCATCCCGGAACCGATCCTAGTGACAGGGATCCGAACGTGGAGGCCGCAGGGTTTTAGATGCCCAGACGAGAGGAAACCCGACGGCTAGGACTCAACCCGCGACCAGCGCCACAGCACCCAACGACATAGCCTCACCGTCAGCAGGCGACCGAACTTGCCCTCGTCAACGGCCTTCATCCCACAAATGCGGCACGACCGCGGAGGACATCCGGTCATCTCCCGTGGTGCTCAGGCTCAATACGCGGAAGCTTTCTCGATAGCCTCCCACAGGCCATTGAGATAGGTGATTCCCAAAGCACGGTCATATAGCGGGTAACCAGGACGACCCGTTTCACCCCAGATCATCCGACCGTGGTCGGGGACGAATATAAGAATTCGAGCAATGATCGTGAATAGACTTCATGATCGCATACATATCGAGGGACCCGTCGCTGGAAAGATGCGAGGCCTCCTTGAATTTTTTCGACCCCAGAAACTTCACATTTCTGACATGAGCGGCAGCAACCCGTCCCATATCTCCATATTTCGCGAGGATGGCCGGCACGTCATTGTCGGGATTCGAACCTAGCGATCCAGCGCACACGCACAGTGAGTTGGCCGGGGAATTCACCAGATCAACGATCCTCTGCAGGTCAGAATCACTGTGCACGATACGCGGAATTCCGAAAATGCCCCAGGCAGGATCATCAGGGTGGACGGCCATCCGAATACCGACCTTCTCACAGGTCGGCACGATTCCCTCAAGGAAGTAGCGGTAGTTATTGCGCAGCTGATCCCGGGGCATGTCGGTGTACTGGGCCATAACCTCATCGAGATCGGCCAGCCGCTCGGGCTCCCATCCGGGTAGTGGGAAGGCCGACGAATCCAGAGTGGCCTTGACGATGTCTTGCGGAGTTAGACCCACAAGCTCCTCGTGGTCGTAGTACAAGCAGGTTGAGCCGTCCTCGTTACGATGGAAGAGTTCGGTGCGTAGCCAGTCAAATACCGGCATGAAATTGTAGACAACGACCTTAATACCATGGGCGGCAAGATTCTCTAGGGTCTTGCAATAGTTGGCGATGTAAATGTCACGAGACGGCTTACCAAGCTTGATGTCTTCGTGGACGTTCACCGATTCAATGACTTCACATTCCAAACCAGCGTCATTGACTTTCCGGACGTAAGAAGAAATCTCCTCATCAGACCACATCTCACCGACCGGAATCCAGTCCATCGCGCCCATGATTCCGCTGACTCCTGGAATCTGACGGATATTCTCCAACGTGATGGGGTCGGTTTCTGCACCATACCATCGAAACGTCATCTTCATGATTACGCAAACTCCTCATCCAGAACCGACCTTACGGCACCTGGACCGGCTGTTAGGCGGATAAAAAATCGTTCAACGACGTCAGATAAAGGTGTCATCGTCAGGTCTACGCCGAAGATATCTCCACGACTAAGGATGGGGGAGATGACCTTGGAATCATCATCGCCAAAACGAACACCTGACACAACAGATTCCAGCTGCCCAAGCAGCGGATCGGAGGACAGCTCTACCGGTTCTCCATCGTCAGCAATGCCCATAAGGTACCGACACCAGGCGGCGAAAACGAACGGGATCGCCCGCAATGACGCAACCTTAAGGGAGTCATCAGCGAGATACGACTTCACGGTCTCACCAAATCGGATCGGAATCTTCTGCGAGGTGTCGGTGGCAATACGACTCGGGGTATCACCAAGGAATGGGTTCGGGAAACGCTCTTCTTCGACTTCGCGCAAGAATTCCTTGGGGTCAATAATCCCCGGATCGCTGACGACGGGGAGCCCTTCCTGCCACCCCAAACAGTGTACTAAACCCGCTAAACCCGGGTCTTTCATCGCCTCGTCAATAGTGGGCTTGCGTAGCAGCACCCCGGTAATGGCTAGAGCAGTGTGGAGCGGGTTAAGGCAGGTCGTCACCTTCATTCGCTCGAACCGGTAGCAGGTATCGCGATCCGTGAAGTAAACCCCGGCTTTCTCTAATTCCGGACGCCCATTCGGGAAACGATCTTCAATAACGAGGTACTCAGCCGGCTCGGTGTTGACAAACCCCGCCACCTCGACGTCGGGGTCGATCCCCATGTCCTCAAGCCCCATTGCCGCTAACTGCTCGGCAACCTTCTGGGACGGGGCCGGGGTGATTTTGTCGATCACGGAGATCGGGAACTCAACCTTTTCTGCAATCCACTCGACAACCCTGTGGTCGATGACGCCTCGTTTCTCCCACTCCGCAGCGATCGTCAGCACCGAGGTGCGCAACATGTCACCGTTGTGGGAGAAATTGTCACAGGACACCACGGCCACCGGCGTCGCCCCAGCGTGGAAACGTCGCACCAGCAGAGCGGTGACAAGACCCATTGCCGTCGACATACGATCAGACTCGGGGTCGCGCCCCAGATCCTCAACAACAGCGTCTTGGTAGGAACCGTCGTAGCCGTTGAGCTGATACCCCTTCTCGGTGATCGTCAGGGTGATTAACTGCAGGGACTCGGCGCAGGCAATCTCGGTGATGCGACGAAAATCGTCATCTCGTCGGTAGGCCAGCCCCTCGCTGATCGACGCTATGACCCCGAAGTCGGTGTGACCATCGGCGTGGGAGGTCACACCAAGGGTCAGCAAATCGTGGTCCGTGAGGCCGCGATCGAGGCGCTGTGGATTGCGGGGCGCGATAGCGGCAATGCCGCACTGCTCAGCCCCGGAGTTCATAATGTCCTGGGCTAACCGAGCGATGTGGACACGGAACAGATTTCCTGGCCCAATAT